ACTAATACTGTTACTGTTGCTTTCACTACTATTAATTATTATTATTATTATTATTATTATTATTATTATTATTTTATTATTATTATTATTATTATTATTATTATTATTATTATTATTATTATTATTATTTAATACTTAATCTACAAGCGGTTGAAACTTACTGGCAAAATGATGTCTTCGAAATTTCCACAATAATATCGTTTCCATTCATTACCAGGCACAGTACTTTTAACTATTTGCACATCGTGTTTTCTGTTTCGTGTGAATATAATGTCATAAAATACTGGCAATACCTAGTTTAATTTTTAGATAAGTTCCTTGATAAAGTGACCACGAGGCACTTAATATTTTTCGTTTATTTTCATTAATTTTTTTTTTTTTTAGTTTCATCTCATTAGCTCTTGTAAAACTATTCGCATCCTTTTACTGATTATAAATATTTTTCGTTTCTTTTCTTTAACTTGAGTTTCATTAATCTGGATAATTATTTTTTATTAATATTTCTACACACACACACACACACACACACATCCTTGACCACCGAAGGGTCAAGACGTACCTGGCGCTCCTCTAGGAGCAGCCAGGTCAACTGTTAAGTTGGCCCATACCAACCCCTTCCCCTGAACCCTCCTCCCCACAGGAATATCAACAAGTTCTCGCCAGAAGTTACAATTTCATTTAGGAAAGGAATGGAACCAGTGTTAAACAGAGGTGAACAGTGGTGAACAGTGCTTGAGTCAGTGAGAACAACTCAACAGTAACAGTCGTACCCAAGTTAACCTTCACACAGTGAGGTCCCAGGTACCCAGTGATAACGGCCCGTGAGACCCAACAACAACCAGTGATGTGTTAATCCGTCTACGATAGGAAGGCCTGGGACCAAACCTCACTCATATAACACCATCTGTGAAGGAATTACTTCACGTGAGGCCCCTCATAACACCATCTGTGAGGGAATTATTACACCACGTCAGGTGCCTCATAACACCATCTGTGAGGGAATTACTACACCACGTCAGGTCCCTAATAACACCATCTGTGAGGGAATTACTACACCACGTGAGGACCATCATAACACCATCTGTGAGGTAATTACACCACGTGAGGTCCCCCATAACACCATCTGTGAGGGAATTACTACACCACGTCAGGTCCCTCATAACACCATCTGAGGGAACTACTACATCACGTGAGGTCCCTCCTAACACCATCTGGGAGAGAGTTACTACACTACGTGTTTGCTGTTCAACACGTACAATCCTACATTAATCTGTATGTTCACTGTATGTTCCTTTACCTTTCTCTAATGAAGGCTTTTGTTAAACCACCAATGTATGTAATAAGTCATTTATGTCCAATGTATATTTTCAGCCTTCAGGCTGCAGAACTTTTTCAATAAACCGTTAATTATTATTATTATTATTATTATTATTATTACACACACACACACACACACACCAAGACTAATTGTACCGCACTAACAAACAGACAGACAAACCGAGAATACATGTAATGATGCCTACGACAAGTGTCCAAAACCCACGCTTGAGACACCCTCGGGAAGGTAATTAAGAAATGTTAATGAAGAGAGCCTTTGGGGCCTGATTCTTACATTCCCTTAAGGGTGATAATTCTTCCCTTAACTGTAGATACTGTATAAAAGGGGGTCCATCTCACTGGCTCATTTATTTATTTTTTTAGTCTAGGATAAAGGGGTGTTATATTTACTCTAAAGGGTTTATCATATCCTTTTAAGGGGTCTGTATTTATCTTAGTAAAATTGCAGATTAAAGCAATCAAAGAATCTGATAAATAAAAATCTGATGGGTTTTGATGTGATTGGTTCGAATCTGACATTCGTTTTTATCGGAAATCACTCGTTTTTGGATTTATTGCAATGGTAATTTCTATCTATCTACATGGCAATTTCTAATAATACTGTTTTGGTGGTACAATAAAAGCAGGAATATAAAGTAGATATTACAAAAAATATTAATACTTAGACAATAGATATTTTTTTAGAGATGATTTAAAGCAGGGGTCACCAAACTTTTTTCACAGTGGGTCGGATAACTGAAAGAATGACGAGCGCGGGTCGCATAATCATTCTGTTCAATACTTGCAAGCCAGAACGAAAGCCACGGAAACCATGGTAACGTCAGAGCGTAGGCGGAGCTACCACGGCGGGCCTGATGAACTGACGTCGCGGGCCGGATCCGGCCCGCGGGCCGTAGTTTGGTGACCCCTGATTTAAAGGAAGGGAGCGTAGTCTTTTCTCGGATGGGTGGGGGTAAGTTGTTCCACAACCTTCACACCGTGATATTTTATGGAGGTCTGGGACTGAGAGGAGCTGGTTTGTATTTACCTTTAAAGGGTTTGTATTTACCTTTAAGTTTAAGGAGGTTCTGCATTTACCTTTAAAGGGTTTGTTTTACCTTTAAGGGGTTCTGTATTTACCTCTAAGGGGTTTTATTTACCTTTAAGGGGTTTTGAAGAGAAGGAAGGAGGGAGAGGAGAAAGGAGGGGGAAGAGGGGCAATGAAAGGAGAAGAGGGAGGAAGAAGTAGTTGAAGGAGGGAGGGAAGGGGATGAAAGTGGAGGAGGTAACTGAAGGAAGGGGAAGAGGAGGAGGAGGAGGATGTAGCAGAAGGAGAATGGGAGGAGGATGTAGGAGGTGGGGGAGGAGGAGGAGTAGCGAGACATCCGGTGGGTATAGCGGAGATCTGGGCGGGTGACTACCGGAAGTTGACTGAGTGGTCGTGGCGGATGTGAGGAACGCGGCTACCGTGGGTGTTGGTACCTCCTGTGACCAATGCGCCTCCCAGTACCACCCACACCTGTGTACTCAACCAGTAATGCTATCAAACACTTCAAAACTAAAACTACAACATATATACCGGTAATCAATTATACTAGCTCAGGAAGAGAAGATAGTGATTTTGTATATTGTTAACCATAAAATGTATTGTTGAAGTGGATAGTTGATAAGCAATGAAATACTTATTATATATATATATATATATATATATATATAGAGAGAGAGAGAGAGAGAGAGAGAGAGAGAGAGAGAGAGAGAGAGAGAGAGAGAGAGAGAGAGAGAGAGAGAGGACTTTTTAAATGGAACCACTTTATCTTAATTAATAAAAATTAGGTAGGAATTATTAATTTAGACTCTGTATGTGATGACTAAATCAAGAGTTAGATAGAATTTGTTAACTGAAAGCCATGTATAAAGATTATTCGATAGTTAGGATTTATGAATATTAAATAAAATCTATATTTTGTTAATTGTGTCATTTAGAGAGCATAACACTAACTAATTTTCTCATCAATTGTATTTTAATTAGTTTGTTTTCAGTTATTTATAATATTAAAAAATAAAATTATATCCGTAGCAAATTTACGTAGGGATTGTTTTGCAAAATCGACTTGTAAAAAAGTTTGTCGTAGTTGTTATAAAATCCGCCAGATGTGAGCAAGTTATGGACACTTGCAAAACCGTAACTACTGTACCATGTTGTTACTCAGCGGGTGGGAACTTGGGAAGTCTTCTTGGGCTGACTTCCGCATAGTTTATGAGCATAGTTATTCAATTGTAAACATGTCACATGACTTGTACACATTGACACCACAATATATATATGATGGCATTGCACGTAGGTTAGGTTAGATTCTTCCGTGCCTTTTTATTTGACTTTTTTTCCTTGTGACTTTTTTTCCTGGATTCGCTCATTCACAGCAGGACCTTTGAATTTGACGCATAAAAAATGTTTCTTCCCCCTACAGAACAATGCTACAAGTAAACCAGGAATAAACTCACCTTATTTAATGGACAAAGGTTCGAGGTATCCAATCTGTATAAAAAGAACGGATGTAAGTGCACTGCTCTCTCGTAGACAGATAATAAGGCTGGATGCTTCTTCTTGTATTTTCGACATGAATTATATAAGATAATCAGTTCATTATGAGTATACATGCATGTAAATTTTGTTTTTAAGTGAATTTACCAGTCCGTTCAGTGCCTGGCTGGACCTTGAACTGACTTGATTTCAGAGTTGCCAACTTAGCGACTTTGTAGCTGATCTAGAGCTTTTTGTTTTGTTCTAGCGACATTTTAGAGCGATTTGCGACTTGTCCCAAATCTAGAGATATCCACAGAAATCTAGCGACCTTCTGGATACTTTTGGACTGTCCATGAATACTCAGTTTTCCTAATTTCGAGCCATAATATATAGCAACGGGGTTACAGGGACAATAAATAATAAGAAAAGTTTAATACATTTGAACGGGTCGTGGTACAGGAGGAGGGACACGTCTGTTTCCTGATCACTTGATGTCAGCCCGTCCATAGCTAATGTTGCCGTGTCGTCATTTATTTGTCTACTACCTTCGCCTTTGTAGCACCTGGGTAACTTACCTCTTTGTCAGATATGCAATATGAATTTCATTAATACACTAAATTTTAAAGAATATTAGCAAAACATCTTATAGAATTAATTCTATCAAGCCTGCGTGGTTCCAAACTTCTCATACGCGTCCACCATGGGTGACCCATAGACTCCATACAGTTGCCCCGACACTGTTCACCCGCTTTGCCAAAAACCATCAAGGAAAGTTTCCGCTTGTTTGCATGCTGTTTATTAATTTGAACCCTTCATAGTCCCAATAGAAAATGGGTAAGCCACAGTATTCGCAGCGATTTAGGAAGGAATGGCTCAGAGATGACAGATACAAAAATTGGCTTCTGGAGGTGCCAGGAGATAATAAAAAAGGATTTTGTAAATTTTGCAAGTGTACTTTGTCTGCTAAGTTGTGCGACATTGAAAAACACAAAAACACTAAAAAACACAAGAAAGCAGAAGAGCCGTTTAGTGCAGAAAGACAGACAATTTTACCATTCAAGAAACTTGGGAATAATAGCTAGCGACTTTCCATGGAAGATTTAGCGACATTTAGCTACTTTTAGGTACCAGCCTAGCGACATTTGAAAATCCGAGTTGGCAACACTGCTTGATTTGTTTTGGCGCCTTTGACCAGCTGACTGTGTTAGGCCTGACACCTGCCTTCTCCGGGGTCTGTATTACCTTAAGTTATTAACGTATTTATAGTTTATATACTTCATATGTTGACACAATCCCTCTGAACTTCAGGAATGGTTAGGAAACTATTAATATGTTACGCAGTCGTCATTAAGGAGGGATTGATATGTGACGTCTGAAGCTTAACTTTAAGTCTTGATTATTTCGTCTTATTCTATTAGGTCCCAGCTGTGTGAAATACCTTACAAGTTGGCACCAGTGTGTGTTTTAAAAGATGATATACAGTGTAAATAAAATGAGGAGAAAGAAAGTGAGTTTGAGATTTGTATAAATTACTTCTAAAATAGACTTCAAGAACACTGCAAACCTAACTTAACGTTCCCAGGATAATACAGTATTTTTTTTTTTTTTTAGGTCATGTTGAGTCAGTTCCTCTGGTCTGTTCAAGAAGATCCCAAAACAGATAGAACAATTGCAGCTGGTATTATTGTTTTGGTCATCAAGTAGGTTAGGTTAGGTTGAAATCATTTTTTTCCGATGCTTTTTTTTTGTGTTTTGAATGATTAATTTCAACTTCCAAATATGTGGATGACCGAAACTATAATTTACTTTGCAGTTTTTGTACAGTAATATTATTTTGGCAGTGATTATCCAATCATGTACCTTTACTAACGCTATTTGTCCGGTATTCGTTCTGATTGATTGCAGCTAATGACACTGACCCTGGTAATTAGAGCATTTGGTAGTGTCCGTGCATGGAACCCTATATTAATATTTATGGTTAATATATAGGACTAACCCTTTGGGGCTGCATAGCTCCGATGCGGCTGCATCGTCTCGTGTCCAGAAAATGTCTCAAATTTCACCATATTATAGAAAGTTCTTTCTGTTTAATATACCGGGGAATTTAGGTAAGGTTAGGTAGGTTTGTTTGGTTTGATTGGTTACGTCTGTTCTTCATACCCACAAATGTTAAGTAGCACATAGTTTAAGAAATATAAATTTTTTAACATATTTCCACAAACTACAACAGTGTCCACTACAATATAACCAAAGAAAATCCGGCGTTTTTATAATTGTTTTCAATCAATTTCGCTTGCGGGTTAGTCCTATAAAATTACAATATTTATATAGGGAGACAACAAAAAACAGCTACATAGCATTGCTGTTGGAAATTTTTCTTTTCAATTTCATTTAAAATAATGCACTTTTGATCACACAAAGTGGGCAGGGCTTTTAAGTACTCTTGGAGTATGTGGCTAACACCAGAACGCATTGTTCGATTTTGTTAATTTTTTCCACAGATGTTCTTTGGATGATAGTAATTAATAATAAAAATGATACGACTGCATAGAACCTAATAGAACCTGACCTAATTAACCAAAGAATCTGATCTAACCTTACCTAACTTCCAGCCGTACCCCCTGCCATATTAAACAAAGTACATGAAAGCAACTTTTTTAAAGAGGCATGGTGTAATTTAAAAAATTTTGTGGGTGTGAGAGAACCCGCGGGCCGAGTGGGTCGGTTGTAAACAAACAGCAGAGACAGCACGCTCCGACAGCAAATTTTTTGGAGGATTAGTTACAGTAAATAATTATTATCTTGTGTACAAAACACATAGAGGCATCATTTTAGTGTCATATAATCAGTTTTTCACTGTGTTTTATCCCACAATTTCCTTCATCTTCATACCCTGCCTATTACAGCTGATTTATGATTATAGATAGAGAAAACTAAAAAACTATATAATAAATTTTGTTTTATAAATTCTATTACTTATCGTGTCCCCACTGAAACACGAGGAAGTGCATAGGCATGAGTATCTCGTGACATCCACACTGATGCTGATTGCCTGAGTAAAAAATGAACAATTTACTGTATATCTGTGAACCTGTCCAGTACTTTCTTCAGTGAAAATGAAAAGTCATATTAACATGAAAACTATAAGTTTCTGTTGGAAAAGCTTAAGAATAATTATTATTATTATTTATTTTTTTTGGCTATCTTGCTATATGAAAATCAATTAAAGTTCCGTGTATGGATACTACCGAAGATTACTGAATTTGATCACTTGTAAATTTAACCTAACCAATGTTTGCAGCAAGTGTCCAAATTCAGTAATCTAGGTCACCAACGTTAACAGCCTTGATGAATCAGAAAGAATGTTATGTCCTGAGGACACCATATTGACTGTTCATAATACTTAACTGTATATGATTTGTCATAGATAAATTGGACCAATCTATTTTAGGGTGGAAGTGCACTGTTTTATTTTAGGTAAGGTTAGTTTAGGGTTGGTAGGTTAGGTATGGGAAAGATCGCTGGGAAGCATTTGTCACCAGTTGAAATTCAAACATGGCGTCCTCGGGTGATGGAGCATATTTATCAGACTGTGAACTAACTTAACCTAATGACCATAATTTATTTTGATTAGGTTAAGTTTGTTTAGGTCATATCTTCAAATGTCAGATATAAATACTGTGCAGTACTGTCCTCAGGGTCGGATTAAGGGTCTCGTGGGCCTGGGGCTAATTAAGTTCAGAGGGGCTATCTCGGGCTATTTGTATAGGCTAGAGTATACACTGTATAGGCTAATATGTAAGTACTGTATGCATGAATGTATATTATATATGTATGTATGAATATATACTTGTATGTATATTTTATACCTTGTTTATTAGGGCTATGAAACACTGTTAACACATGCAGTCACCTACGTAGTGACAATATTATCACCGATCATAACACTAGCTTATTTACACGTACAGTATATAAGGCAGTAATTGATTTTTAGTTCACATATCTATTACAATCTCTGCAATACATATACACTATCATTGGCAAGTGTCATCATTTATAAACTTCTATTTTGTAAGTATTTTATCACTAAAAAATCAGACACTCACTCTCAGCTGAAAGACCGTAAACAAATTCCCGTCTCCCACGACAGAGAAGCTCCAAACCTTCATACTTTGGTCAATAGCATCAGACTTATGTCATCAGGAGCCAATCACAGCTCAGGAAGTCTGCTCCTATTTCCCAACCCCAAAGCGGTAAATTTGAACGTCAGCGGCGCAAAATATAACAGTAATGAGATTTAAAATAATGATCGCCAGCCGTAAAAGCTCTAATATTGTATTTCAAATCGCCCAGTAGGATTTTTTAATGCCTGTGGCGACCAGACTGGCTATTTTTGCTAGTCCAAAAGACCTATTGGAGAAAGGGCCTAAATTTTTGTAAGGAATTTTGTGGGCCTATTTTTCTAGTAGGCCTGGGGCAGCAGCCACATCAGTCCCATTAGTAATCTGCCCCTGACTGTCCTATCTATGGGTACAGTGTATTTGAAATGTTTACAGTATAAGTTCATACATATTTTTTCGTTGCTTCCAGATTAGATTTACCTAAAATGTATAATACAGTACAGTTTAGGTATACAGTATAGTGTAATGGCATTATGGTAAAGATGTGTCTTTAAGCTCCAGTTACCTGTTACCATTGGCTAAAGTAATCATGGGAGGTAGTGGGTCAGCTATATGAAAGATTATAGAATGAAATTATCAGAACTGCAGGAAGTTATACTGTGTGTGTCATAGGGAATGGTAACTTAGCAATGAATGTTCATAGATTATGTTGTGGGTACTGAACTGTACAGTACTTGGTAACTGCTTCCAACATGTGGATGGGCCAGGTTTGATCGAATTGGAAATTAACTAACCTGTGTAGCCTTATATAGCAAGCTTGTTTCTTGTGTTTTTCTTATTTTAACATGTGTTATAGGATTTATTTATTTATTATTATTATTATTATTATTATTATTATTATTATTATTATTATTATTATTATTATTATTATTATTATTATTAATCTTGCCTTTAAATTGCAGGTCTGTCTGAAAGCTTCACAAGCAACATGTCTCTTGTTGCTGATGTTGTTGCATCAATTAGTAAGTACTGTACTGCATCTGAAATGTAATTTTATTTGCATAATACTTAAATGAATTTCATTTCATTGCAACATTATTTTCTCGTGTTGTTCTTCACTTAATACTGGAATTACAGGCGTTATGTTCCTAGTACTGTACAATACAGTACCCTGCTCCCCACTGCAGTAAGTTAAGTTACCAACTTCAGTGTGGTGTTTGTAGTAGTTATTACTGTCTCATTATGTAGGTACAGTACTCTACACATGTCTCATCTGGGTAGTTTTGTAGATTTCTAATTGTCACGCAAGAAAATTATACCTATACTATTAGAACTTAACAAGGTAGTGTAAGCTTATTTCAGCACTGTAACAGTCAAAGTTGAATTATGAACACTAAAATACAACCATTTTTAAAAATAAATCACCACTGTATTACCTTTTCTGAAGAGTTGGCTTATTGTACAGGTATTTTAGATACTGAACGGAAGCCCAAAAATTTTATTTGTAAATTAGATTATAAATGTATTTACAATTCTGTTTCCTCACTTTGGCTTGAGTTACTTACAGCCAAATAAGACAATATTATTCTTACATAAGATGACATTACGTTAATCTGATATAGGGAGCAGGGGTGGTAAAGAGAAGACAGGCAAGCTTGGAATTGATGGACAGTTAGAGGAGCTGGTGAAGCGAGCAGAAGAAGGACGTGTAGGTGTGTTCCAGGCTTTGGGATCACGCTATTCCAAATTGACCACTGCCTTACATGATACTACGCTTCTCCATGATCGTGTCAATGCTGCTCTTCGAGATCTTACTAATCTCCATGATTCAATAGAACAAGAGGTAAGGTTGATAGAGTTGTGATCTGAAGAATATTGGATTGTGTTCTTTGATGATGATGTACTGTATGTATATCAGTTGAGGATATTGTACTGTATTACTGTATCAGTTACTCAATTGTGTCTTAAAACATGCCTTGTTATTGTTATTCCTAGGTGGAGAGTGGTGTAAAGAGCAGCGTTGGTGAAGTTGGAGGATTGGTTAGACGGTGGAAGGAAGTGGTGGTGGGCCTGGAAGCTGCCAACACACTCCTCAAAATTCATACACTTTTCGATGAAGCTCATAATGCACAACTAATTCATAGTTTCCTTACAACTGCAGAAAATCTGGCTAAGGTGGGATGAAATCATATTTAATTTGCTTTTACCTAGTACATGTATTACTATTGTGAATGTGTTGCTTAGTTCTGTATTGTACAACCCAGTACTGCACTGTATTTACTTAATGTATTTGTTTGACATACTGTGCAGTATATTATTTTATTTTTATTTTTTTCATTGAAATATTTTTAACTACTGTACTTTTATTGTATATACAATAATGATCTATATTCATCTTAAACTTTCCATCAGTCAGTCTTCATAAATACTGTATACTGTATAGTAAACAGTCAATATTGTAGAAGTACTGTACAGTACTGTACAGGGAGTCTTCGTAATTCATATGGGTTCCGTTCTTAAAAGTCCATCTGTATAATGGTTATACGAAATAACGCAGCAATTTTTCCCATATAAAGTAATATACTGTAATATGGGGGGGGGGGGGGTTAGGGTCCTAGCCAGTCAAGTTAGGTTACATTTGTTGATTAATCTGAAGTACAAAATGCAGAAACATGTAGTAATCATATAAATACTTTACAGAAATAAATAAAGCGCCTTCTTACCTTATTGTATATTGTATAGTTTACAGTACGTAATAAATAAAAGTTACTGGTACTGTAAACAGGCAGGAGGAATGTGGAGCTGTGGTGGTGTTGATTACTCTACGACTGAGTCCCACAGTGGAAGATTACAGTACAAGTACATACGCAGTGTTCAGACTTGGGGAGAGTTGTATAATATCTCCGTTAGCCGGAATCCTTCTTAGGAGGAAAACTCTGATAGCTGGAATTGAAATTTGCTCTTACGTAATTTTCCGGAAAATTCCGGTTTTGGGAACGATTTTCGGAGGTCGAAAATCAGGCATATTTTCTGAAAAAATCTGGAAATTATCCCCATTTTATTTATTTTTTCTGGGCCTGGGAGCAAATTCCAAGGATGAAATAATGCAAAATTCTTAGAAAATTCCAGAGATGGGGAATTTTTTCCGGATTTGAGAGATTCGTCTCGTTGCCAGGAAATCTCTAATGCCCGGAAGTGCCCTGCCCAGTTGTTCCAGCAAAGGGGGATATCACTTGTTATTTGTTAAAAAGTGTCTTGAAATGATGGGATTAGTGTTAAAGTGAAAAAAGTGGTGTCTTACAAGAATTGCTTAGTTTATTCTATTCCTCAATGGTCAGCATCTACCATATTTTACTGTAACTTATCCTCATAAACTTTTGTGTAAGAACATTAGATACTATTTATCCTTAAAGTTTTATTTCTTCGAGAAGCATTGAATATTTTCTATACAGGTACATTATTTTTTAATCATACTGTACTGTATACAGTACTGTACTGTACCAGTGAACTTTAAAGTCAACCAGCTCATGTAAGCATACAGTACTAATTTCTCCAGTCCTCAACAGATTGCAGTTCAAGTCAGAATGTCGTCTGCTAGCAGATACGATACATACAGTACAGGTACAGTATTTAATTATACTGTACATGTACTGTACAGTACTTGTCCATGTTAATGTTTAATATTTTATATCCTCCCATGAGTTGTTGATGGTGCAAATATGAAATACTGTACAGTACAGTACTGTATTTGAATAATCCGGGCTTATTGTACATGTACAATATTAGTGAGTACTGTATGGCATACAAGTACCTGTACTGTAATGATTTTTCTGTGGTAGAAAGAGCTATCTGTATAAGTGGGCACAGAAGCTACATGTATATGAATACATATAACACAGACTCCCTGGATCTGAATTAGTTAGTGAATTTTATATATGAAATAACAAAGGTTTTGGGTTTTAGAGAACCTTGTACAGGCTAAGTTTTGACTTTTCTGTATGAGTACAGTATTAATGGAGAAGAAATTTGACAACAATACTGTCCTTGTCTGATTACTCCCAGTACATTTACAGCATTTGTTAAAAGAATAGCATCCATACCACATTGGCATATGCCACATGGCATTCGTAATATTGTAGTACAAATAGTGACCTCTATTTATAAATCCCTGCATGTTTTACTCCTACACTGTTAAACCTGGGATGGGATGGCAATCATTTTCCCTCCTAAGGCTGATGACTGGATATTTTCTATGCTTTCATCAAAGTTGAAGGGTAGAATTGGGGTTCCCAGATTTTTGTTTGTGCATCTGGTGAAGGTTTGTTTCAGGAGCATAATGCAAATACAGTACTACTTCAGATCACTTAACAAAACTTTATGTAGATGAACCTAGTACTAGGTGCTTTTTTCTTTCTTTTTTCTTTTTTCTTTGTAATACAGTTAACCCTCAATTTACGCGGTCCCACATTCCGCGTTTCCACGTTTACGCGGTGCCTTGCCAGAACCTAATGTGCTCACATTACGAGGTACGTGAACCCCATTACGCGGAGAGTGTCCGGCGCGACGCTATTTTTAAATTCGCCCCACCCGCCTGCCTGCCTGTGCTCCTCGCCTCTCCCTCCTCCTCCCTCCGCTTGGGCAAGCCGCGCGGTAAGGTTGCGCAGTGTGTGTCTTTGTTGCCTTATCACTGACGTCATATGACGTATCGGACTGTGATTGGCCATGCATCCCTACCCCCCTCTGCTGCTAGCTGTAATTGGCTTAAAGTATTATGACGTGTCCACCCGGGGGAGGGAGGGAGGGAGGGAGGAAAGACCATCCTTGACCTAGCTGCGCCAGTTTCATCCCTCCACGCCAGACCGTGTAAACGTGCATCCATTGTTCTCTAAAATGGCTTCTGCCGGACCACCACCCCCAGAGAGAAACCTTTCCTTACCTGGACCCAGCGGCACTAAGCCAAAGAAGACACGACGTTCCTTAAGCTACGAGGTGAAGTATACCATCATCCAAGAGTTGGAGAAAGGAACAAGGCAGGTTGATTTGGCGCGCCAGCATGGTGTGAATGAATCTACGATTCGAACAATAAAGAAGGATGCAGCCAAGATAAAGGAGCACATGAAGATCACAAAGTCTACAGGTGCTTCTATGATCAAGTATTTTCACAACCAGGTGCTTCTCAAGACAGAAAAATTACTTGTGAGGTACTTGGTGCGTCAGGCGCGACGGAACATGGCGGTCGACACGCGCTCTGTTAAGGACTACGCACGTGAACTGTACATCGCAGTGGCACGAAAGATGGGAATTACAGAGCCCAAACCCTTTAATGCTTCCTCTGGGTGGTTACAGAGGTTTAAGATCCGGAACAAGATCACCAATATAAACATTGGTGGTGAAGAAGCGAGTGCTGACCGTGCTGCGGCTAGGGAATTTCCTCCGTTTTTACGTGAGATTATGGAGGAAGGACAGTACAGTGACGACCAGGTGTTTAACATGGACGAATCTGGTCTTTTCTGGAAAAAGCTACCTTCCAAGTCCTTCGTTGTAAAGAATGCCAGCAAGATTCGGGGCCGGAAGATGCAGAAGGAACGCATCACCGTCCTGTTTACCACCAATGCCTCCGGTACCTGTAAGCTCAAGTTATCGGTGATCCACACAGCACGCAAGCCGCACGCCTACAAAACCATGGACATGACCAAGCTAAATGTCCACTGGCTGACCGCACGTAAGGCGTGGATGTTCTCTACACTGTCCCTCTCCTGGTTTGATGACTGTTTTGTTCCCGATGTAAAGAAATTCTGTGAGCGACAGAATGTGCCATTCAAGATTTTTTTGCTGCTGGACAATGCACCAGGACACTCGCCCCTACTGTTAGATCGTCACCCCAACGTAAAAGTGGTCTTCCTTCCTCCCAACACTACGTCTATATTACAGCCCATGGACCAAGAGTTAATCTGTAATGTAAAAGCTGCATTCTCTACGAAAAAATTCAAACTCCTGAACGACTACACCAACACCAGGGAAGAGTTGCGTAACCTGAGTGACACCACCACCGATAGCAAGAGCGAAGAAGATGAGGATCAACAGTTGGCACAGCAAAAAATACTGTTCAAACAATTCTGGAGAGTATTTAACATCAAGAAAGCTGTGGACTTCTTGGTGGAGTCATGGGATCAGCTGTCTATTGCTACAATTCGTCACGCATGGAGACATGTGTTGCATGGAATACCAGGTGAGAGGAGGAGTCAATCTGTGACTGGTGAGGTTCAGACTGTTGCAGTAGCAGTGGACCTTGCCAGAGAAGCTGCGCAGACTGTTACAGTTCCAGGCTTCTCCGAGACCACCAACGACGACATCCTGGAGGTGATCAGAGATCCTGAAGTGACTGCCGACGAGATGTTGGAAGAAGATCACGTCAGTGAAGAGGAGGAAGAAGGTGCGTCATTCTCCGAAGAACACAGTTTAACTCATAGTGATATTAAGGGTGCCATGGAGTGTGCAGAGAAAATGAAGTCCTTCCTTTCCCGCGACAATGACGATGACCGCTATGAAGTCTTCCATACCCGGCTGGTGCAGGCTATGGAGCCGTACATCACGGTGTATCACGACAACATCAACACCAGCCGTCAGCAAAGCATAACAGATTTCTTCGCCCGCAACCCACCACAGCCAGCCCAAGCCAGTGATAGTGACAGTGAAGATGACTTTGAGGGATTTGTCAGGGAAGCCCTGACAACTGTAAGTGACAGTGATGGTGATTCACCTAGTAATGGTGATTCACCTGAGGGCCAGTAATCTGCCCTCTGCCTCGGAACCAGCCTCCATCCCCGTATGCCGACCCATCTCTTCTACTAACGTAAGTGTTCCACATAACTTTTAGGTTTTCTAACCTAACCTTTATTTTTCCTATGTTAACCTTTATTTTTCCTAACCTAACCTCGTCTATATTACTTGTTTTTTCATACCATCATAAAGTTAAGATAAAATTTTTACTACAACATAGTTGTGTGTCGTCAAAAAGTGGAGTTTGGGGGTCGGCCCGGACTCTATTTCAATTAATCCCATATGTTATGTTATTCACTTTACTCGTTCCTCACTTTCCGCGGGACCCTGCGGGTTACATTAACCGCGTAAAGTGAGGGTTAACTGTACTGAACTTTGATTTCAGTATTATTATGGATTAAGGGATGTTGATTTATGTTTTATGTATTTTGTAGAAGTAAAGTATATACTTTACATTGTACATTTGTTTAAGAACTGTTTTTCACAGGTTGAGTTGTTATTACAAGAAACTTCAGAGAAGGAGGTGGAGGGGAACCTAGAAATAATCAGCTCTCTGAAGGCAGAGTTACTTATTCGAAGGACACAGTTGGGGTACACTATTGGAGAGGTATGTTTTTCAGGGTCTTTCAGTTATTATTGATTCCTTACTTGTTACATCCTCTGGCTGGTATCAGTGCAGTGTGAGTCCGTATTGCAGTTTTATTCGTAAGAAATTAAAGATAATTCTTTTCCTCGTGGTACTGTAGTAGAGTGAAGAGTCTTATCAGAAAATCAGGCCAATTTATTTTTTGAAATTTAATTGGACACTAG